TGCTGCTGCTTTTGCTGCTCTCTCCTGCTGCTGCAGAAGCAGCAGGAACGTTCCACCAGAGGCAGCTGGACTGCAGCAAGGCCTGAAGGGGCCACTTGTGCTGCTGCTGCTGCATTTGCTGCTGCTGCTGCTGCTGCATTTGCTGCTGCTGCTGCTGCTGCGTTTGCTGCTCCTGCTGGTGCAACGTCTGACGTTGCTGGTGCAACCTCTGCTGCTGTATTTGCTGCTGTTGCATTTGCTGCTGCTGCTGGTGCTGCTGCTGCAGTGTCTGTTGCTGCTGCAGTGTCTGTTGCTGCTGCAGTGTCTGCTGCTGCTGCAACGTTTGCTGCTGCAGCAGATGCTGCTGTCTGTAGGCCTGGAGGGGCACAGGCTGCAGCCGCCGCTTCTGGCCAGGTGCTGCTGCTGCTGCTGCAGGCACTGCTGCTGCAGCATGTATTGTTGCTGCAGCAGGCGTTGCTGCTGCTGCTCCCGCTGCTCCCGCTGCAGGCATTGCTGCTGCTGCTGCTGCTGCTGCAGTTGCTGCTGTGCTGCTTATGGCTTGAGGCACTTCAAATGTGGGCGGAGACGGACACGGAATGGGATATCCCTGCTGCAGCTGCTGCTGCAGCTGCTGCAGCAGCTGCTGCTGCTGCAGCTGCTGCTGCAACTGCTGCTGCTGCTGCTGCTGCTGCTGCAGCTGCTGCTGCAGCTGCTGCTGCAGCTGCTGCTGCTGCAGCTGCTGCTGCTGATAGCCGGGCAGAGGGCACGGGGTCTTCATCAAGGCTGTTTGAAGGCCAGCAGCAGACTGCAGTTGCACCCTCTGTTTTTGCTGCTGCTGCTGCTGCTGCTGCAGCAGGCAGGCGCCCTGCTGCTGCTGCTGCTGCTGCAGCAAGCAGCCGCCCTGCTGCTGCTGCTGCTGCTGACCAGCAGCAGCAGCAGCAGCAGCTCCGCTGTGGGGGTTTGGGGGCAGCACAAAGTGCCAAGCTTGGGGAACCGCCCGCTGCGTGTCTTCTGCAGGAAAGGATCCCATCTCCCTAAACCCTAAACCCTAAACCCTAAACCCTAAACCCTAAACCCTAAACCCTAGACGCCAGGTCTGGCGCGCAGTCCCTGTCTTGAAACCTAAGCTGGAGAACATTAACAGATGCTGCTGCTGCTGCCGCAGCTATTGCTGCTGCTGCTGCTGCTGCTGCTGCAGCAGCAGCAATATTCATTGCTGCCGGAGGGGCCCCCAAACGACAAGACCCTCTTTGGGGGCCCCCAGCAGCAGCAAATAAACCCTAGGGGGCCCCGAGGGTACAGGGGGGGCCCCCAGGGGCCCTTCTGTATCTGGGGGGCCCCCTGGGTGGGGGAGCGGTGGGGGGCCCCTGCTAAACCCTAAACCCTAAACCCTAAACCCTAAACCCTGGGGATGGAGAACCAGGAGCACATTCAGTGGACATTAGTGGAAATACGCAAGTAAGCCCTAAACCCTAAACCCTAAACCCTAAACCCTAAACCCTCTGCCTTAGGGGCTGCGCGTGGTCGGTTGGTGTTGCTGACGAACGCGGGGGCCCCTAGGGTTTAGGGTTTAGGGTTTAGGGTTTGGGGGGCCTTTTCAGTGTCTATGACTAAATAGAAACCAAATATTATTTAAATTAATTAAATTTATTTTTTTTATTTTTTTATTTTTATTTTTAAAACTTTTTGCTCCAAACAAACCCGCGAGATGCACACACCGACCCTGTGGGGTGTACAGACACCTCACGCTGCCCCCTAGGGTTTAGGGTTTAGGGTTTAGGGTTTAGGGTTTAGGGTTTAGGGTTTAAGGGTTTGACAGATATTTTGAATTGCTGCGGATTAGTGGGTTAGGGTTTACAATATAGCGTCAGCGTTTCAGAACGCCGCCCTATCCACCAATTTAGGGTTTAGGCTTTAGGGTTTAGGGTTTAGGGTTTTGGCTTTGGGCTGCAGGGTCTATTTTTTATTATTAGGGTTTAGCCTGCAGGGTTTAGGGTTTCTTGTGGGTTCTGCATTCATTAATATCCAAATTAAATAATTATTTATTATTCTAATTAATTAATTAATTAATTAATTAATTAATTAATTAATTAATTAATTAATTAATTAATTAATTAATTAATTAATTAATTTTGTTATTTATTTATTTACTTATTTATTTATTTATTTATTTATTTATTTATTTATTTATTTATTATTTGTTAATTGACTTCCTCTAAGGTGTGGGTTGCTTGTATGGAGCCGTAAACCTCTCCCGCAACAAACCCCAAAAAAGGGTTTAGGGTTTAGGGTTTAGGGTTTAGAGGATGGAGTGAGCTCTTGACTGCCAAGGGAAAGCTTGAACAACTCCAGTCCCCAGGCCCTGCACTGAATGCATTGAGGGTTTAGGGTTTAGGGTTTAGGGTTTAGGGTTTAGAGTTTAGGGTTTAGGGTTTAGGGTTTAGAGTTTAGGGTTTGGGCCAGAGCTACAAATAAAATAAACGCCAAACACTTTTCGCCCCAGCTAGCTGCGGCTCATTTTGGCTGTCTACAGCTAGCTAGCAGCAGCTAGCCACAGCTAGCCACAGCTAGCCAGCAGCAGCTAGCCACAGCTAGCCACAGCTAGCCAGCAGCAGCTAGCCACAGCTAGCTAGCTGTAGCTAGCCACAGCTAGCTAGCTGCAGATTGCTAGCTACGGCTAGCTAGCTGCAGTCACATACCCAGCCACAGCTAGCTACCGCTAGCTAGGCGTAGCTTGCTAGCTGTAGCTAGCTAGCTACAGCTAGCCAGCTACAGCTAGCTACGGCTAGCAACACTTAGCCACAGCTAGCTACAGCTAGGCAGCTACAGCTAGCTACGGCTAGCAACAGTTAGCCACAGCTAACTACAGCTAGCCAGCTACAGCTAGCTACGGCTAGCAACAGCTAGCCACAGCTAGCTACAGCTAGCCAGCTACATCTAGCTACAGCTAACCAGCTACGGCTAGCTACAGCTAGCTGCGGCTAGACAGCTACAGCTAGCTACAGCTAGATACAGGTAGCTACAGCTAGCTACACCTGGACAGAGCTAGCTACACCCAGACACAGCTAGCCACAGCTGCCCATAGCTAGTTATGGCTAGCTACAGCTAGCTAGAGCTGGTTACATCTGGCTGCAGCTTGCTGCAGCTGGCTACAGCTAGCTCCAGCTAGCCACAGCTAGCTACATCCGGCTGCAGATAGCTGCAGCCAGCTGTAGATATCTAGAGCGGGACACAGCTAGCTGCAGCCATCTACAGCTAGTTACAGCAAGCTACAGCTAGCTACAGCTAGCTATAGCTACAGCTAGCTACGGTTAGCTCCAGCTAGCTACAGCTAGCTACAGCTAGCTACAGCTAGCTACAGATAGCTACAGCTAGCTACAGCTAGTTGCAGCTACGGCTAGCTACAGCTAGTTTTAGCTACAGCTAGCTACAGCTAGCTACAACTAGCTACAGCTGGCTACAACTAGCTACAGCTAGTTACAGCTAGCTGCAGCTAGCTACAGCTAGCTACAGCTAGCTACAGCTAGCTGCAGCTAGCTACAGCTAGCTACAGCTAGCCAAATGGAAAAAAGGGCAGAAGAGAATGAAGTACTGAGAAAGCAAAATGAGTGAAAGGAAAAAAGAAATTAAAAACAAAAAAGGGATTAACGGAAATTAAAAAGAAATGAATTTTAATTTATTTAAAAACAATTTACAAAAGAATAATTAATTTTATGAAAAATATTTTTAGAAAGAAGAATTTAATTCTGATGAAAATTGATCGTGAGATGTGGCCCTATAGGGTCTAGGGTTTAGAGTTTAGGGTTTAGGGTTTAGGGTTGGGGTTTAGGGTTTAGGGTTTTCTAGCAATTACTACAGGAAAGGTAGGGTTTAGGGTTTAGGGTTTAGGGTTTAGTTCGTTCTAGTTGTTAGATTTGGGATAATGCAAAAAACAAATGAACTGCATAGTAATCCAGACGAAAGCAACAATAAGCAAACCCTAAACCCTAAACCCTAAACCCTAAACCCTAATCCCTTGGCAATAAGTAAATAAATGAATAAATAAATAAAAGGCTTTTCGCTTTAATGGATGGGCTGGTTCTTCTGGCTACTTGCTGAGCCTACTCGCCACAGATTCCGTGTAAACCCTAAACCCTAAACCCTAAACCCTAAACCCTAAACCCTTGTACGGAAAGGTCTGCGAATAAGAAAGAATCCTGGGTCTCTAGGGTTTTGAATTAATTGAACTTAAATGGATTTAATTAAAAAAAGAAAAAATCATCAAATTAAAATCAAAAGACAAGAAGGTGTAGATTTCTTCTGAGGTGTCAATACACCCGAGCGAGACTCTCCAAACCCTAAACCCTAAACCCTAAACCCTAAACCCTAAACGCTAAACCCTAGCTAAACTATTACCACAAAGTTGCAAATCAACTAACTCGTTAGGGCTCAAGCTCCAGGGTTTAGGGTTTAGGGTTTAGGGTTTAGGGTTGAGGGTTTAGGGCTAGCGGCGGATCCGGGGCCCCAAGGAACAGGGCCCCCCTCTTCACTTATTGTTTTTAGGGTAATCTTTTTCTTTTAAATTTATTTCTTTTAATTTAATTTAATTTAATTTAAAGTTAATTCAATTTACACAAAACAGCCGGCGCAGAACGCAGCCCAGGGCTGAGCCCCCGAGGGTCTAGGGTTTAGGGTTTAGGGTTTAGGGTTTAGGGTTTGCTGGACTCCACCACAGCGACTCGCTCGGGGTTTATGAACGTGGCGACGAGGCCTCTCAAGGGGGGCCCCAGATCCTGCCGGGGGTTTAGGGTTTAGGGTTTAGGGTTTAGGGTTTAGGGTTTGAGACTCCTGAAGCCGCTTACGGAGCTGGTGCAGCTCTGTCTACAGCTCAAACTATGTGCTTTATGGGGGCTCCTTGGAGCCTAAACCCTAAACCCTAAACCCTAAACCCTAAACCCTAAACCCTAAAGCAGGGGCCCCCAACCAGCAGGGGGCCCCCCTTACACAGGGCGGTTTGAAGAGAAGATTAAAGGCAGGCAAAAATGGGGAACTGCTGCCGACGCAGAAAAGTGTAAGCGAGGGTTTAGGGTTTAGGGTTTAGGGTTTGGGGTTTAGGGTCTAGGGTTTAGGGTTTGGGGTTTAGGGGATAAAGACTCTGGGAGCTGCAGGCTTGTTAACTAAATCTTGACCTTGCTTCTTGGCTCTACAAACCCTGCTCCCGCTTTGAAATCTG